ATGGACACCAAGCATAAACATGGCATACATATAACTACATACAGGCAAAATACTCACATACATAAAATAAGCAAATGTGAAAAAAAAATCATGAAAAGGCCATATTTTAATTCCTCGTTTTCTGTGTTGTAAAAGTTAATGCAAAGGTGATCATATGTACTGAATTAGTTTTAGTCTGTCTAATGAATAAACATGTTATAGATGTTCTTAATATTTTAATTAAGAAATGCCTTAATATCTCTTGAGTCAATAGGTAAGAAGATGCTGCGGCAACGTGTTGGTTGGTGGCTTTTAAATTTTTTTTCCCCTTTTGGAGTTAAGTGACACACATGCCAGGCTAGCCTCAAACCTGTGTAACCTAGATTGCCATGAACCTGCTAATGCTCTTGCTTTTGCTTACTGAATACTGAAGACTCTGCTTTGTTTCCTTAGGCACCCACTCTACCAACTGAGCTCTAGAAGCATGCGTTCTAGCTACTTTTTCCTCAATCATTTTAACTGCTATTGATATTTCTTTAAAAATAAAGATAGCACAAAAAAAGATACATGAACAACATCAGTTTATAAGAGACATAACTTCATATTAGTTGCCTACATGAATATTCCCTGTCTTGTCTCACAAATATAGGCAGATATTCAAAAATTATTTCAGTCTATATGTAAAATCTTATATCTCCTTCACAATATGTTAAAATATATTTATACCATAGAATAATATGTATTTTAAAAACTGTCTCCCAGAAAGGCTCATAATTTCACTATGCTTCTATTCTGTTGACTGTCAGCCATTTCTAAAAGTGTTCCTACACACTGCATTATAGACAGTGGGTTTATTCACTGTGGACAAGGAGGTCAGTTTGAGCTGCACATTTTTATAGTTTTCTACATATCTAGAGTGCAGAATTATCTTCAGACATCAGTCAAATAACCCCATAGATCTGTAGTTACCTAACTTTCTAAAACCACTACAAGTGAAGCTGCAAGGTTAGTTTAGTATCTCTGAACATCCTATATTCCCCATCACCTCTCAATTCACTAACAGCCATCCCTCTGAGATCATAAAAAGTCTCAGAAATGAGCATCACAACCTCCAAACTACAAGTAGAGGAACAACACATGCTTCAGTGTACTTGTACACTGGAACTCAGGAAAGACCAGCTATGATGAGGAATCAGTTAAATACCTTTTGGGGTGGGGCTAGTTGCTTTGCTTTCAGAATTGAAAGTTTCAGTACTGGAAGTCACTGTAGCTTTTGTTACTTTAGCCCATATCAAGCCCTTCTGCCAGTTGAAACACTACAAAATGACACTGTGGAGGACCTAGGCAGATGCCTATCACTTACTATTATACCTGTCCCATGCTAGGGCACAGCTGCCCTCTTGTTATTCCACCTCCTCTATGAGAAAATGTGTAACCTTTAACTGAGCTGATTCAAGTACATTCCTTCTTGGGACTCCAGGCAGACATTTTCAGTGCTTGTTCTTACAATGAAAGTTAATTTAAGAGACTATTTCTTTTCATGTAAAACTAATAGCATAAAAATTTTACATTATTTCATCAAACAAAAGAGGTTATTAAGGCCATGTTTCAGACCCTCACAAATACTATAAAGCCCTAATTTAACATTTTATAGATGGAAGGGATTTTAGATTCTACCAAACATCTTCTTTTCTAGATAAGGAATAAAGGTCCAGACGAGCCAATGAAATCTAAGCCCATCACAATTAACTAGACTCCAAGGGGGTAGAAATGCAGTCAGAATTGAGTATCCTGAACCCTCACATGTTATTCTCTACAGAAAATAAAAATAATTTACCATCTGTTTCAATGACTGAGTAGATGCATCTAGTGTCGAGTCATAATTCTTCCTGTTTACATGCATTTTGACTACTTTTGGTAAAAGATGCATCTTGAAGAAGTAATCAAACTTTGGCTGATATGTAATTGCTATATATCACCGATATGAACATGTTTTATTTCAGGGACTGTACAGATTGCTCAATGGTTAAGAACACTTATTGCTCCTCCTGAGAACCTGTGTTCAATTTCCAGCACACTCTTAACAGCTGACATTTACCTGTTAACTCCAATCCCAGAGACTCCCTCTTCTGGTGTCTCGGAGAACCAAGCATTCCTGTGATCCACAGGCATACAAAAAGGCAAAAACAAGCCTCGTAGGCCTTTCATCCCAGCCCTGTGGAGGCCCAGGCAGGCAAATTTCAGTGAGTTCAAGGCTAGCCTGATCTACACAGTGAGATTTAGGAAAGGCAGGACAATATAAGGAGACCTGTCTCAAAAAATGACAAAGGCTAAACACACATGTAAGTTTTTTAAATTAAAAACTGTTATTATAAAACCACCAATAAACTAAGTAAATAGTATATTTGAATATCTTTTTTGAGTGTAAAGAAAAATTTTTGAGAAAAAAATATTAAGGACATTTATGGGCATTATTGGAAAAAATAGGAAGGTAACCTTGTGCAGTGCTGGAGAGTCATGCAATGTGCAGGTTGGAGACCATGCAATGTGCAGTGCTGGAGAGTCATGTAATGTGCAGTGCTGGAGACCATGCAACGTGCAGTGCTGGAGACCATGCAATGTGCAGGCTGGAGATCATGCAATATGCAGGGTGGAGAGTCATGTAATGTGCAGGCTGGAGATCATGCAATGTGCAGTGCTGGAGAGTCATGTAATGTGCAGTGCTGGAGACCATGCAATGTGCAGTGCTGGAGAGTCATGCAATGTGCAGGTTGGAGACCATGCAACATGCAGTGCTGGAAAGTCATGCAACGACCATGTCGATGTTGGAAACAAACACAAAATCACCTTTTGTGGCCAATATAAAGACTCCAAGGAAGGGAACAAGTAAACAGAATAAAACTTTCAGAGAAAATTGTCTACCATCACTGCTCAGAAAATGGCAGAAGGAAAATTTCAAAAGACCATAATAAAATGAGCCAATCCACAGAGGAGAATCCAGGAAAAACGAGCAGTGTTTTCTCTGCAGCCTACTCAGACCAGCGCAGTCCAGAACGGCTTTGTTGCCACAAGCCAGCTGGTGTCTGTGGTTACAGAACCCTTTTTATTTCAATGTCACATTAAATCCTGGAGCATAAAACCAGTGGCTGGCTGCGGAGCCATTTCTGCTTCCTTAAGAATGGGCTATCGGTCTCACAGCTAAGACCAAATATCAACCAATGTTTCCACTGGAGAAAAAAAAAAGATGAAAAATGATGAGAAAGTAGGACTGAAATAATTTTTAATGCACTCACAGACTGAAAGTATGAGAAAATGAGTTCAACATTGAACAGATTGTATATTATACATTATGCTCCCTGGGACAAATATTCTAATTCCCAATAATTGTAGATAGGAAAAATTAACATGAGGAGAGGGAAAAAAAAAGGCTTCTTTTTTTTTGTTGTTTCCCATGTCAAATTTGGGCCAAAGAGTTATTATAATAACTACGAATAAAATAAATTACAAAAGTAGTGAAAAGTGGTATGTGATATGATATACATCTCTGGTCACATCTCATTGGACTGATACAGGAACCAGGTGGCACCTGTAATACCTGTCACAATAATTGGAGACATTATACCATATTTTCTTTTAATGACAGTGCACTACAAGCATCGTCTCTAAATACAGGGAAGCTAATAAGTACCCTAGCACTAACTGTGCTACTCTGAAGGATGCAGCAAAAATAAATCATGATGTTCATGTTCAAAACACTGACTTAAGCTTTAATGGCTTGTCTTTTAAAAATCCATGGGGATTCTCAGGTATTTAAAATTCTAAACAAATTAAATTCTTTTTCTTACTGTGATGCAGGAAGAAAAAAAAAACAGACTATCAACTGGTCAGAGGTGGGTAAACCACAGGCCTAAGAAACACTAACAGGTAACTGTGGCAGCACTGAAGAGGAAATGGCAGGCAACACCTTGAGCTCACAAGGAAGTCATTTGAGCATACTGTGAAAGCCCCAGGCTCAGTGGGAGATCGTCTCTCAAAATAATGCCGAGAGCAATGAAAGATATCCAATGTCCACTTCTCATGGCATCTACACATTACCTATATAAACACACATGTGCTAACTCCACACACACAGAATAAAAATGGAAGTGTATATGATAAAGATATTATTACAACTGTCTATAAACAGTCAGCTAAACAGGTAGCTTTCCTAGCTCCGGTCTTCTGGTTTTAGGGATGCCCTTGGCATACACCTCCCACCGTGCTCCTCCTCCCAGCACCCACTAGTGACAGCAACACGTTTAATACTTTCTCTGAAGGCAGAACAATTCTAAACTCTACAGATTTTTCTCTGGTTCATTTGAAGCTTTGTGACATGTACATTTCACCAACATCTATGTCAATCACAATCAATTCAATAAGGATTTACTAGTGATTTCACATGTACAAGGAAGATCGTCAAATGTCAGATCTATAAGCAAGCAACTCTTATACACAAACTTCTAAAAAAGACAAAGAAAAAGAAAAGAAAAAACAAACAAAAAGCAAAACAAAACCAACCAAACCAAAAAACCTTTTCATCGTTTTCTTTATCTCCAGAGGCAGCCTCTGGAAACATCCATGGTGGTTCCTTATCCTAAGAATGTCTGGCACTTCCCACAGAAATATTATCTTCTGAGAAGTTCTCTTTACGAAATGTTTATTAAGAAAATTCTCCTTTTAACTGCATTTTCAAGGTATCCAGAGAATTTTCTTTAGAGTTTCCGTCTACTACTATAGAATCAGTGAGTGTTGCTAGACACCAACACCGGTATCAGTTAGTTACCCACATTTTTAGTTGGATTTTTTAAAAGTGAATGGTATGCTAGGAATCTCCAGCCAGCCAAACAAACTAATACAAATAGCCTGTCCACGTGCATGGGATAGAAACGGGAGAAGACAGACAAAGAGTCACAATCACAAGCAGTACAGCGTTTTTAAACCAAGTGAGTGAGCCCTTTAGCTCAGCAGCTAATGGGTCTTACCTGCAGCCATAACTTGTTATGCACAGCATCTCTCCCTGTGGCAATGCACTGAAATGTAGCATTCTGCCCTGCATTGACCTCCACATCACCCAGGCGGAGGAAATGAGGAGATTTATCTGTTTAAAAAAGAGGGAGGAGAGGGATACATGTTTTGTTCACAAGAGAAGATGTACCATGATGCTTGCCACAAAAGAACATTGTTCTGAACATGCCTACCATCGACTCACATTAATATTCAGAACGATCTTGAAGTTCCTTTCCTCTAGACCACAACGTTCTTTCTCTTACACTCACAGGTTTCCTTCTTAATATGTCTCACACATAGTAACTCCTCTATTTAGAGATGGATTGATGCAGAGTGAATATGCAGTACTAGCCAGCATATTCTAATAGCTGCTGTACCATAGATTCATGCATAGTAATAACAGTTATGTCAAAGTAAGCCTATGAGATGAAAGAGGTACACATCAGAGTCTAGCGGGACACAGAGTGGATGCACATAAAGACATCTAACACTCGGACAGCTATGTGGCCACTTAACTATTTAGCCACAAGCTGACCATTCATTCTTTCAGTTTTTCAAACTTTAATAGTTGTGCATCAGAGAAGGGGACATTTCTGTTTATTAAAAAAAAAACAACAAAAAAAAGGAGTCTCTTCTTCCTGTTTGCTAATAGCCATGAGGAAGTTACCCAAAGAACTATCAGATCAACAAAAGTGATGTCGGTAGTCACATAGTTTGACATGGGTGATTTGACTGTCAAATTGGTACTTGATACAAATTTCCATTTAAATCTGAAGTCTTAATGTTTGCCATTGAAGAAAAATATGCACAGGCCAAGTTAAGCCTTGGTGAATATGAATAATAATAAACCCTGCAACTTCGACTGTTCTGCCCAATTTGTGATTATCAGTTTCTCTATTCACAAATCCTTTCTTTGTTATCTGACATTTAAGGTGGAGACCTGAAAGGCAGACAGAAATCAAGTTCAGTTGCACTATGGAGTAAGCAAGCTTACTAAGCTAAACTGAGCTTGGAGCAGGATTGGGTTGTTACCTTTCTCAGCATAACACACAGGGTAAATAATTTGATCTTTGCCTGACACAACTTTCTTCAGCGGCATACAAAACTGAGCAAAAATGCAAATCTACAAGCCCCAGGTTGCACATGATTATCCAGAAAGGAGCCAGCAAATGTGTTCGCTAATGACATGATATAACCACTCAGCTGAGGCACAAGGCTTGCCCCGGCATGCTGATCTCATGAATCCTTTTCTCTACACATCAGAAGTAGCTCCCCATGGAAGACTATAGAATGTATCACATTTTTCTGCTGGGAAATCATATCATGAAGAAAGTCTAAACTGCTGTCTGTAAATTCTGCCTGGCCCTACTGGATGACTGTGATAGTTGTTTAGGAGGATGGGATTAAGTCTGAGAACCAAAGAGTGCTCAAATAAGGACCTCACAAAATGGTGTCAATAAAGCCAGATTTGTTTAGATATTATTTATTTAAGGCCGATTAACTTAGATATTTAGAATGATAATAAACAAAGTCAACCTAAGTTGGGAATGAGTTGAGTAAATTCAAGATACCTCAACAGCTCAAAACATCTGAGTGGAATTAAGTGTGCACTAAATTATCACTAACCAAAAGCAAATGAAAGAATTCTATCCTACATGTAGTTGGAAGTCTGGAAAATTCTTGATTTGAAAATTCTACTAAACATTTTGGTGTTCTTTTCCAGAAAGGCTGGGAGTAACAACAAAATGGGCTACAATGGCGGGCAATAAACAATCAACAGCCTCTGCCAGTCTGGGACATGTGTTAAAAGGACACAGAAAAATACAACTCTTAATCAAAACCTACCGCAAGGATAACTCAGGACTTGGATGTCATCAATGGCAATATAACCACTTCTCCCTCCTGAGACTTCAGCTTCAAATATTACCTGTCAGGAAGAAATGGGAAACATTTACAACAGTCACTTTTAAAGAATGTCCACAGTAGAAAATAGTTATAATGCCCTAAAAGAAAATTTGATTTTTTTTTCTCCTAGGAACTTTTAGCTATATCACGTATAGACTTTAATTTCTTAAGACATCTGCATATAACTATAGTAGAGCTTGCAAAGTAAGTAAACTACTGAGTTCACACAGTTCCAATATGCTTTAGCACGTACTATCAAGTATTGCAAGATTTCATGATAATTTATCACTTAGCTCAGGAAACTAACCTGTCCCAAATTATCAGTTCTCAGAAAAAAAAAATATAGAGGCTCATTGAAAGGTTTCGTTGCTTTAGTCAAAACACAAACACAAACACACACACACACACACACACACACACACATTATATTTAACAAAACTGTACTCAGTCATTTCTTGCAAAATAATGTGTGGTATGCCAATTTTCCAAGGAAAAATGAATTTAGCATTCAGCAATTCAATGTTCTATTTGACTTCTTTATTCATGGAATTAAATAGATTATTTGTGAATTATTCTGAAAAACACTTTAGGAAATGCAATGGGAGTTTATGTTTAAAGTAACAATGTAATATAAAATGAGGCTAATGGAAAAATTGGTTATTAAGTGGGAGACAATCCATAAGGAGCAGACAGGCAGTTTCTAGTAGGTATAACAGAATTTAAATGGTAACCAAAGGGAGAAGATAATAATTATGTTGAAACAGACATACAGAGATGCTGATTCAGTAGGCGTGGAGAACCACGGATGAAGCCAATGTTTTTTAACACAGGCTACCAGCTGAAGGATGGAAGCCAAATCAGAGCAGTAGTAAAGAACTATACGCAAACTTAAAGAACAAGGTCACTACCAAATACATTTTAATCATTTCAAATTTGATTTCCCTGTGACATCTTCAGGGGAGAGTGCTTAGCTATAACAGGACAGCTCTGAGGAAGATAGGGTGAGTCAAAAGAGAAAGGAACTGAAGTTGAAGGAAATGAGCTAACAGCTAACATGATGGCAAGATGGCAGACTGAGAGAAGGGAGGAGAAGACAAGGGAAGGGAATAGAAGAAATCACTGGCATGGAAGCCAAGGCTGGCAAAGGAGCCAGCAAGAAATCCAAAAGCGCAGAACCAAGGCCTGATGTATAGGGAAAAAGAGAACCCAGCAGGCTCAGCCATGTCAGCACTGGCAAAACACTGATTGGAAAATCAGCTGAGTTACGATAACCAGAACACAGCGGGAACCTGTGCATCTAATAGACACAAACTTGAGAGGCCAGAGGATTTCCAATATCATCTGCAGGTCTCCAGCTATGGTTTCTCCCTCATTATGGGAATAGTTGTCAATTTGGGGATTGGACTCTGGCTCTAATACTGTACGCTGATGGGAGACCGTGCAAACCATGGATCCCATGGATCATGAAGAGGTTGTATAAAAGCTAAATAACAAACTGCAAATTTGGGAGGTTGGATTTTAAAAGAAAAGACTGAAGGAAATAACTTCCGATGTAGAACAAACTCCAGCAAAAGTGACATTTAGAAAATTCTGTTGGTTTTGACGTTGGTAGTTCTTTGGTAACTGTGGCCAAATCTTACTGTAGGGAAGGAAAAAAGTGTCTCTAATGACACCTGTGATAGTATTCATTAAATATTAACTTTATAAAAGGCAGTGACCTAAACTACCATACATGTCCATGCTCGCTCCTGTGTGATAGGCAGGTAGGTTAATAAGTAGGCAAGTAGACTGTAACATAGAGAGAAAGAGAGAAAGAGAGAGAGAGAGAGAGAGAGAGAGAGAGAGAGAAAGGAAGAAAGAAAGAAAGAAAGAAAGAAAGAAAGAAAGAAAGAAAGAAAGAAAGAATTCACATACATACATTCATATATGATGCATAGGTAAGTATATACATACATACATACATACATACATACATACATACATTCACACAGTATATCAACTTGATACAAAGAACTATAGGTAATTAAGTAATCCTGAGAGAGGATAAGAAATAGTCTTATCCAGGGATGAGTATGCAAATTGGTTATCCAATACCAAATAGCCCTGAACTTCCATACAAGTAGCATTATGGAGACTGAGTCTGTTTTACTTAGGAATATATGTGTATACATGCTCATATATCTACATAGGAACAATTAAAGATAAAAGGGGCCGTGACTTATAACGAGAGGATGGATGCGTGTACGAGAGGGTTTAGAACAAGAATGAGCAACGAGAAAGGTTGGGATTATATTGTAATCTCAAAAATCAGAAATCAAAAATTACAACTCATACAATCATATAAGGTAGCTATATAATTTACCACAACTTCATTTTGAAAAAGAGTTCAGAACAGGCGGAGAATGAGGAAGCCACTCTGCAGCCAGGAGGGGACTTCCATTAAGTTCTACAAATAACTTCCTGATGGGAAGGGGCCAACAGACCAGGGGATTTCATTTAAATAGAATTTAGGCTTTAGTTTCCTTTGAAACTCTAAAGTTTAAAACCACTGTCATTCAGTTAGCACACTGATGAGATATTACGGGACAGAATGACAGAGGTCTTAACGTGAAACCCCATTCTTTAGCAATATTCCTACATCTGCTAAAAGTCAGTAAACATGGAGAAAAATAAGTAAGGATATGTCTTCTTTATTTCATCCACACCAGCCATAAACTCTCCTGGTCTCTCTTCTATTTCCACTGTGGCCTTAGTGACTACAGAATTTACTAGAACGAAGTGAAACTGAAAGACAATGTGGTCTTAGAGAAGAAAAAAAAAATAGCTTCAGGAGAGAAAGACAGCTAATTCACGAACATGGAGTCGGGAGTGGAGGCAGGAAGGTGTCCTCACAGGCACGCGATTCTTCCTTCAAGCAAATGTATCTAGTGTGAATGTCGTCACAAGCCCGTTGGTTTGAGCCATTAACAGAGTTTGGTGAGAAATAGAGAACAGAATGTAAAGAGTTAAATAATGTTTCAATGAGGCACTGAGACACAGGACTACCCTGTCAGCATGGAAAGCCCATACTAGACCTCAAGCTCTCCTAGTGTCCAACTCTTCAGAGACATCCAGACCCACAATATTCACATTATAGGTGTATAATATCTCTTTTATGATCAAGTTTAAACAGTGGTGTATGGACAGTGCCATCGGGTGACTATTATTGTAGTATCTATATGCAATGGCTGTGGAATCAGATCCTGGGAGAATAAGTTTCATTTGCTTGAATAATGTTCCAAGGAAAGTGAGATATTCAAAGAAAACATCAGAATGCTGGCTTCTTAAAACATATTTTAATAGATAAAGCATGTGTCCCTAAACAGATAATCATTGTAGCATTTCAGTTTGCTGTTGTCGGAACCAACTCAAGGAGTAAACTTCTCGACGTGTTACTTCTTAATTCTCTAACTTCCCTCGTTCCCCGTAAATGTGACTTTAAAGAAGATTACTACACCCTTGAGGAAAACTTACTTGTTCAATTACATTGAGGTTTATTCAGGACAATAAATTTAGGCCTGGATTCAAAAGAAGGCAAAATGATTGGCTCTTTATCAAAGAGGGGAAAAGGGTAAGTTTTCTTTCTAGTGACCTAATTTTCTCTACTAAGTGTTGTCTTTGCCTCATTAACAGAAGCTTCAAGAAATTTCTGCGCTTTTGAGTTCCTTCACTACTAAAGTCAGAATCAGCATTATCACTTCACAGAATCCTCACCTTGTGAGGTTCTTCTGTCCAGTCAGGGGAAACAAATCCCAACAGTTTAATTATGCAGTTTGCTGAGGCTAATCTTCGGGTCAGAGCTAATGCTGAGTGTCAAGTGGTTGACAGGCGCTTCCAGGAAGAGGAGAGCAATAGAAGCCAGACCAGATGTCAGCGTGAACCCATCCTCGGAGGCACCTTGGGAATGGGGTGCACGGGTTCTGTCTTTTGTGCTGTTTCTCCTCCACTCCATTACCTGAAATACTGAAGGTGATGATTCTAATCAAATTTCTGCTAATCCAGCAACATTCCTGGATTATTAACTAAACAAATGAAGTTGAATTAAAGTGGGAGAGCAAAAAGTGGTATTCCCTGCAGAACAAGGATCCTCTGGTAAATTGGAAAAATGTAGAAAAGGAAACAACTCCCATCATGAATGCTGAACTTGGTGTTAGCCAGCTTGTATCTAGTGGTTGGTTTGCTGTCCTGTGTGATTCAAGTGATTAGCTGAATACGAGAATACATAAATTCTTTACCTGGATACCTCTGATCCCACTCATAAAACAAGATCACTGTGAAGACTGAATGATTCAAGTAAAATGATGAAACAATGTATAAAAGGCCATGTAAGATACTATGAGAAATGAGAAAAACATTCACTCTTTATTTTCCTTCACTATTTCCTTGTGGTAAATGCGCAAGCTCACAAGTCAGATATATATTGAGTTCACATTCTTTAATTATCACTTTGAATCATGTAAGAACTTAAATAAATTAACTTATATAGCTTTAGCTCATATAAAATTTAAACTTTAGTTTCTTCTCCCATAGCAGGAACTATTAATATCTACCTCAGAGCTCTGTGAAGGATTAACTGAGATAATGAATATGAAAGCACAGATCCTGGCCCACAGAGACTCCTATAGGAAAAGTGCCATTGAAGCTATATTGGGGGTGGGGGTTATCTATTAAAGACAAATGCTTGAAAATCAAATTTCCTCCTAATCCTCTCTATTCAAAACATGAAACACACAGCCAATTTCCAAAGAATATAAAATAATCTGGCATTTTTCTCTCACAATCTTAAGTCTGTGGTTTTGTGATTTGAACTTTCAAACAAGAAACTGTGCTGGTGTAAAAAAGAAATGTAGTAATTAGCCATTGACTTCATTTATAAAGGGGGCGGACTGAAATAATGACAAAGCTGGTCACTTGAAATCCATAAAAAGGTGACAGTCTCCCACCACAGCAGTTTTCAGCAGAGTTCATATTTCTTGTTTCTCT